GTTTGTAAGTAATAAGTGATGTATACTTAAATACTGTATCTTTATTGATATGTGCAGCAAAACAAGTGTGTAATACAATTTAAAAATGTAAATATAGTATATGAGACAAAAAGAATCAGAGTAAACGCAGGCTGCCATTCCAGCTAATTTCAGGTACCGGTGCAGTCATTAAAAATGGTTTGATACTCATTTCTCTAGATCACTTTTATATATTGTATGGTTATTGTTTTTTAAATCTAGCTTATATATTATGTTTTTATGTCTGCCTCAACAATGTTTAATTGAATGGATTTTTTTTCGGTTAAAATGCATTGTTAAAATATAGCATTGTACAAATATTTGTATTTTTTAATCGAGATGTGTGGAAGCTTATCCACGACTCATAGCAATTGCCCTGTTAACAGAATGTTTATGTTCACTGCCCTTTTTGGTTTTTTTTAGAAAAACAGTCAAAACCCAGTAAGTTGCTTAGTGGACTGCTGTGTATTCTTAGTGATGTTACATTACTATTCTTAATAACAATAATCTTTAATACAGCAGTTTAGACTGTTCACACATGCAATATCAGGAAGCTTTATTATCATGAACAAGAAAAAGTCACCAAAGCTCTAGAAAAAACAGTATATATAGTTAAATACAAATTAAATCGTTTGTGAATTCAGACAGGATTCTCGTTCTTCTGCCACTTCCCAGTGGCGGTGTCGGAATAGAAACTTAACCATATGATTCACCGACATGATTCAGCAGTTTCTGCTGTTCTTACATGCAATAACAAGGATATTTATCATCATGACTAACAAATAGACAGTATTTTTTCTATAAAAAATTTAAAATCTTGTGTTTTCTGTGTGCTTTTTGAAACACATTACCTCCCCAACATAGTTTTTACACTGATAGATTTCTTAGTCCTTAGTTTCTTACTGAACCAGAATCATAGACACTTCAGAGCATTTCTGTAATTCCCTCTGGATAAGGGAGTCTGTTCTTTTACTTACTTGACTCTTTTTTGTAATTGAGCTTAACAGTCTTTTTTCCATATTCGTTAATAAACAATCTTTCTCAATACTCAGTAATCTGTATTTGTATTTTCTTGCCTAAGCCCTATTTGTGAGAAAATAAGTGTGTAGGCTACCTACACTACAACTACTACTACTACCGTGTTCACTACTGTGTGTGTGCACTTGGATGGGTTAAATGCAGAGCACAAACTCCGAGTATGAGTCACCATACTTGGCCAAAAGTGTAGTGTGTGAGTGTATACCAAAGCGGTGACACAATATGGGAGATGTGCTGATTCCATGATATGGAAGATGTACTGATTCATTCTTCAGCTCAGCATGAGTCACTCCTGACCAGACACTGCACGTTTCACGAGTATAGACTGTACAGATGTAACACGCAGTGGTTAGTACTCGCTTGAACCATCCACTGGTTTTGGATTTTGTCAGGAGAAATCAGGAGAAAAAAATGGTATGACTTCTCAAGTCTGGCAAAAAGAAGAGGTGGGGCAGAGCTCCCATCTACCTCACCACAACCTACATCTCCTGTGCACCCTTCACCTTGCACCAGTCCTAGGTCTTCTCCTGGACCTTCCTATGCAAGGCCCAGTCAAAGGGCTCCACATGACTTTTTGAACCAAAGACCTTTGGGGTTATGACACAGCTCACTACACCAGCATGCTACATACAGGCATTGAACGTTCATTTAATACTAGCAACACACAGTCTACCTAATTCAAGGTAGCAGATCTGATTTTTGTTGGCATTAAGTGTAGTGTATGCAGTGTAATTATGTTTTAGGCAATAAATATATTCATGAATTTTTTTTATATTTGAAAAATGCACTGTCATGCTTAGAACCAATGCATCGGTGAGTTATTCGAATTGAAAATTGGCCTTTGTCTTTTTCATGTAGAACTTGGTGAAGTACGAATGGGTCACTTGGAATCTGGACACATTTTTACTGTGTGATTTAAAGTGGCATTTTCATTCCATTTCATGTCATTTGATGCTCCACATAACTGCTTTTTTCACCATTGCTGAGTTATGATGTTGACTCAGGGTAACACAACCTGAGAAGACGAGGCCAAGGAGATGAAAAACAGCTAGATTAGATTCAACTTTGTCACTGTGCAGAGTACAAGTACAGAGCCAATGAAATTAAATTACTTTTTTATTTAATTAATTAAAAAAACCAGCTTGCTAGGAAGCTGGGGTCAGCCATGATACAGCACCCCTGGAGCAGTTGTGGTTAAGGGCCTTGCTCATGCGTCTAACAGCAACAGCGGGACTTGAACCCCCAACCTTCGGGTCAGTAACCCGCTGCCTTAACCGTTCAGCCACCACTGCTATAGTAACCAGCTTTCTAAATGAGGTAAATTCATGGACTAAACATAATGTTTATTGTTAATGTTTAGGCCTAGATCTATTTATAGCAGGAGCGAGTAGGGTTTTTCCTTTTTGTAATCTTTCTATAATTAACAATGACTTAATTGCACATATGTAATCAACCAACGTATATACCGATCAGCCATAACATTAAAACCACCTGCCTAATATTGTGTAGATCTCCCTTGTAACACCAAAACAGCTCTGACCCATTGAGGCATGGTCTCCACAAGACCTCTGAAGGTGTGCTGTGGTATCTGGCACCAAGACATACAGAGTGGATCCTTTAAGTTCTGTAAGTTGTGAGGTGGGGCCTCCATGAATTGGACTTGTTTGTCCAGCACATCTCACAGACGCTTCATAGGATTGAGATCTGGGGAATTTAGAGGCCAATTCAACACCTTGAACTCTTTGTCATGTTCCTCAAACCATTCCTGAACAAGTTTTGCAGTGTGGCAGGGCGCATTATCCTGCTGAAACAGGCCACTGCCATTACTGTTGCCCAGAGCATCACACTGCCTCTGCCGACTTCCCTTCTTCCCATAGTACCTGGTGCCATCTCTTCCCTAGATAAGTAACGCACATGCACTCAGTGGTCCAGTTCTGATGCTTTTGTGCCCATTGTAGGTGCTTTCCGTGGTGGACAGGGGTCAGAACGGGCATTCTGCCCAGTCTGTGGCTATGCAGCCCCATACACAGCAAGCTGCAATGCACTGTGTATTCTGACACATTGCTATCACAATTTGGCCCTTGTCAAAGCTGCTCAGATCCTCACGCTTGCCCATTTTTCCTGCTTGCAACACATCAACTTCGAGAACTGACTGTTCACTTGCTACTTAATGTATCCAACTCCATGACAGGTGTCTTTGTAACGAGATAATCAATTTTATTCATGTCACCTGTCAGTGGTTTTAATGTTATGACTGTATATATACACATGCATAATTCAGGTATGTATACACTATTATATTAATTAATCTCATAGTACATACTGTATCTAAATAGCTTTCAGCATATATAGAATAATATTACCCTTTGTATTTATATGTCGCTACAGTACAAATTGCCGGTAAAACAACACAAAACACGCTGCAAATAACTAACATGCTTATCACTGCTAGTTTCCGGTTACCTCCACTTTTTCAGAATATAGGAACACATGGTAAATACACCATACATGAAATGAAACCTTGCACACAGCAGTATGGAAAAGCAACGGAATGCAACAAGTTATAGTATGTCTGCCTGCACTCACAGAGATACACACCCATGAAGACATGGAAGAAAAGTTTAACAATGTTGTTACAGGAGACTGCTGGCTGCTTTAACTGCACTGATTAGTTTTTGAATTTTATGTAACTGTTATACAAAAAAAATTCAATTTTAAAAAATATAAAAGGCACATGTGGTATTTAGCTCTTTTCAACACTTACTACACATTTTCGGAGGTATTTCCTCTTTTTAATTCCCCTGGAACAGGAACCGTCATCAGCTCTACATGATACACTCTACATGATATCACATCACAAGTGAGGCAACTGCTGCACTAAATGTCCCTCTTTAACAATAAATAAATAATAAATAAATAGAGAGAGTGAGAGAGAGAGAGAATTAATATATTCACAAGCGGCACGTAACCAAAACCATATTATCTGGTTAATAATCTGTAATACCCCACGTCTATCTAAACCCAAATGCATTAACCCAAAATAGGAGCTGAATGGTTTGTGTAAAGCGAGATTTTACACTGATACTAATTTTATTAAACACACAGAGACAGAGACAGCGAGAGAGAGAGAGAGAGACCTACAGTACCCAGGAAAAGTTTTTGGTTGATCATTTAATTGCTCAATTGCACATCAGATAGTTTAGTTAGGTTATTTGCTTCATTACTGGGTTAATTTGGTATAGTGTTATACACAAGTATGTGGACACCTGACCATAACATCCATATGTGGGTCTTCCCCAACCTGTTCCCACAAAGTAATGTCTTTGCCATAGCATTAAGATTTCCTTTCACTGGGACTACTGTGTCCAAAGCTTTCCCAGCAGGATGGTACTACAAGCTCCATGAAGACATGGTTTGCCAAAATTGGTGAACACTGAACACCTTTGGGATGAAATGGATCAGCTTGGACATGCCTTCTTGCTGAACATCTGTGCCCAGCCTCTGATGCTCTTGTGGCTGCATGGGCAAATCCCCACAGCCCTGGTCCAAAAGCCTTCTTAAAAG